GATCGTCGTCCTGCTGTCGCCCGATATCCTCCTTGGACCAGTGCTCGGCAATAGACAATACGCAGGCCGGTCGACAACTTGCTGGCAATCGAGGGAAGGGCCACGGTATATCGTCATCGTCCCAGGGAACAGCGGCTGCGGCTGGTGCAGGCGGCAGTTCTTGCAGGAACTCGTTCGTTGGGGCCGTAGTCCGTAACCTCGAGAGCGCGTCGGCAGCCTTATTGGCCTTTCCCTCCACATATCGTACAGTGAAGGAATACTGGCTCATTGCCAGTAGCCAACGCTGAACTTTGGCTGAATTGGAGGTTGTTATCCATTGCAAAGGCCGGTGATCGGACAGGACGATCAAATCTAGAGGGTAACCCAAAAAGAACGTACGAAAGTGGTCCAACGCCTTGAATATCGCATAGGCCTCCTTCTCATAAACAGGCCACCTCAGCTGTGCACCAGAAAGCGCCTGGCTGTAGAAAGCCAGAGGCCTCCCCTGCTGTTCCAATACTGCACCAATGGCGTAGTCGGAGGCGTCCGTAACCAACTGGAAAGGTTGCTCGAAGTCGGGGTAAGCCAAGGCCGGCAAGGACGCTAGGCCACACTTCAAGTGTAGGAAAGCCGTATCCTGCTCTTCCTTCCACTTACCCAAGAGGCTGTTACTCTTTTCCTTCTTACAGGCGGGCTCCAAGGCATATAGAGGCCTCACCACCGAAGAGAAATGGCTAACAAAATGTCGATAATACCCAGCCAGGCCGACAAACGACCTCAGTTCGCTGGCCGTTGTAGGAACAGGCCAACGAAGTATTGCTTCGACCTTTGCCGCATCCGGGCTCATACCCTTATCATTGAAGACGTGCCCAAGATAGGTAACCTCCGAACGGCCGATCTCACACTTGTCTCCGGCGATCGTCAGGTTAGCTTCCTCAAGTAAGCGGAACACTTCTTCCAGATGCCGTAAATGCTCCTCGTAACTCCGCGCTGAACACGAGAACATCGTCTAGGTACACGCAAATATACGGCAGGTGTCC